ACACTGATGGGCTTACCAAGTTGCGATACAAAGTTAAAGATGTCGTTGTTTCCCCTGAATGTGCAGTCGGTGAATCTTGGAGTGAGACTAGCTCCTACCAGTGCAGGACCCCACACTGCAATGTCCATTGCACTACCAACCCTCCCCACGTTCTCAATCCACGAACAGTTGTAGAACTCGATGGTGTTTGTTGGTTTTGCTCGCTGCTGTTCGCGGACAGCTCTGAGAAGAATTCCTCCACCCCAATATCCCGTGTTGTTTCTGAAAGTGCAGTTGTTGAAAGACATGTTGTTGTGGGCCATCATCAGGTCGTCAAAGTCAGACGTGAACGTCAACTTGAGGCCTCCGCCTCCCCTAACTTTTGCTGTGGATGGTTCGGTAGGTACAGTGTTATTGAGAAATCTACAGGATTCCATCACGAAAGTATTGTTCCAACTCATGCCTTGGAATTCAATGGCAGCCCCTCCGCCCCATTCAGCCTTGTTGTTCTGGAACAAGCACTCAGTCACTGTCGCAACACTGTCGTTGGCACGACTGAAAATCACACTCAGTCCTCCGCCACTGCCAAACGAGAGATGGTTTGTGGGCTGGGGTAGAAGGTATTGGTAGTTGATGGGATGCCACATGTGAGCTGTGTTACCTTTGAACTCACACTTAGTGATAATGTATCTGGCACTGGTAGTAACAAAATCGTTGCTTATTCTGGCTTTGTCACTTTTGCACTCTCCTGGGTGGTAAGGACTACAAAACGGAAACTCAATGTACATGCCACCCCCACTTGGATATGTATTGTTGTCAGGTGATCCATTGTTTGTCAGAGTACAATCCTGAAAGTGATTTTGCCCACCTGTTGCATACACTGCTAGACCGGTTCCACTACTGTCGGAGATTGTGACCCTCGTCAAGTTGATATTCTGGCAGGACAGAAAGTACAGGGCGACAGGAAACTTCATGAATGAAAAGTCTGACGAGCTGAAGTTGCGACTAGTACTCTCCTGTAGTGCTGAACATTGTAGTAGTATGAGTCCGTACAGTTGTACATCGAAACTGTTGACAAAAGCTTAAGCCAGCTCCCTGAGTACATGTCACAGTCACTCTTTCTTCACCAGAGGAGCCATTGTCAGAGCTTATGATAGCTACTGACGATTTGTTGCTGAGAGTTACACTTTCGTTTAGAGCATAGCTTCCACCACTTGCAATAACTACTTGGGTTGAGCTTTCAACTCTGTTTTCTAGCACATATTCCAAGTTTGAGCAGGGAGAGCTAGTGGTGCTACCACACTGTACTGTGTCACTTGCATTGGGGCTAGTATTGTTCACGTACACTGTGTGGAGGTAGACTGGTGGGGTCTGAGCAACAGCAATCAAACCACAGCAGGACAGAGAGAGGAGTAGAGCCCAGTAACACGGAACCGATTCACTTTAAAAATAGTGAAACATTAATATACTGAAACATTAACAATATTTTGATAGGCTCACTTGTGCTTAGACTTCTGCAGTGCAACACATGAAGCAACCCTCAATTCTGCTCTATAATAATTATGAAAGGCACTGAAGTGCAAACCCTCGGCGCTGTGTTAATAGTAACACACACGCACAATTATGTAAAGTAACGGGTGGGGCAATGGTATCACCAGGTCTGGTAGAATCGTTGTACTTACTGGTGCTGTATTTAGGTTCATAGATAAGATTATTCTTACGTCCCAAGCCTAACCTAGTGAGCAAAACGCCTTAGTTGGAGGCATACTTACTGAACTCAACCGTCTTCTCTGTCTAGTCTCACAGGGGGAAAAAATGGCTGCTGGCCACGTGGTCCCAATCAGCGTGCGCCGCTTTGGCCGCCTGCCGCCTCGGAGTCGCGTGCGTTTTGTGCATACGCACATGCGCGTTGTTAAAATGGCCGCCTTTGCCGTACCGTACAAACAGGAAAACGCACTAGCTCTGCAACGAAGCACTTTCAGAGAAAATCCCACATATTTTCTGATCTCCGTCGGCCGCTGGGTATGTAAACCCGTTTTGGACGCGATCTATGACTGGAGAAGTGAGTTCTCACTTAATGAATGAAAAGCACTGAAGTGCAAACCCTCGGCGCACACGCATGCGCAGTACCACTAATTGATGGGCTGGGTTTAGTTTTAGCTGTTACTCGTGGTCTCTTGCCAGCTCCCGCAGTCTGACGCGGGCTAACTACACTACTAGATAGCATGCGAGAGGCGATACACGCCCTGCGTTGCATCTTCTTGTGCCTCCGAAGTACGCAGAGCACAATCCGCGGTAAGCCGTTGCGTATTTGCATATTAGGTTTTTCGCGCTCTAGCTTTGCAACGGAGCATTTTCAGAGAAAACCGCACATATTTTCTGACCTTCACTGCCCGTTAAGTAGATCGTGTCCTTTGTGAGACGAACAAAACACCCGAGAAGTGAGATTGAGAGTAACGGACAGACAGACAGACAGACAGACAGACAGACCCAAGTACCGTAACCCTCGCTGCGCATGCGCGCCGAGGGTTAATGACTGAATGAAAAGCACTGAAGTGCAAACCCTCGTCGAACTGCGCACGCGCGGTACCACTAATTGATAGGCTGGGCTTTTAGTATGCGTTTACTCGTGGTATCCACGCTAGTAGCTCGCTGAGAGTCTGACACGGACAAGCTACAGTAGTAGATAGCATGCGGGAGTCGACACACGCCCTTCGTTGTGACTTCTTATGCCTTCAAGATACACCGATAAAAATGGCCGACTACGCATTAGCCGTACAATGGTGGAAGCGCTCTAGCTTTGCAACGAAGCATTTTCAGAGAAAACCCCACATATTTTCTGACCTTCAGTCGCCCGTTGGGTAGATGGTATCGTTTCTGGGACGAACAGACATTCGAGAGGTGAGATGTAGAGTAACAGACAAACAGACAGACAAACAAACTACTGTAACCCTCGCTGCGCATGCGCGCCGAGGGTTAATGACACACACGACAGCTACAGTAACCCTCGCTGCGCATGCGCGCCGAGGGTAATAAAGCCACTGACGGTTAAACTAGGGTTAAACGTGTAGTCCGCGTATAAAAAGGGGCGTGCCTGGCAAAAATCGATTAACTTTAGCGCACACTGTGACAAAATGGCGGTGTTCAAACTACTGTCTCTTCACTTCCTGAGCCGCTGGCTACCACGCATCCGTTTCCACGCACTAAAACACGCTGCGTTTGTCCTAATAAAAGCCTCTCAATGCTAAATCAGCGCTTCTTGCGCTACTTGCACATGAATGCGCTGAACAGCGCTACTCGCACATGAATGTCTGAACCTCCAGCGGCCAAGAAACCGAGGGCCGGCGGCCCACGTTTGACTCTCCAGCTAACGTTTGGCAACACTGACACAATGGCAACGTTCAAGGAGCGAATGGAAGCTCTAAAGTCCGCTCTCGCTCCTGCGGGAGCACCTCCATTGAAGCCGGTCGGGCTAATAGCGAAGCTCTTTGACATAGCTGATATTAATTATCTTGTTCTTTCCATCAGCAGAGTCCTGAGGAACTAGCCCTAGCCTAGCCCTCAGCAGAGTCCTGAGGAACAGGAGGAAGACTGAGCCATACAGCCAGCTTGCACGCACTTCACTATACGTATTATATACACGTGTCACGCGCGTGCGCACATTTTATTACCAATCCGTGTTACGCACCGCAGCTATGTTGTTCCAGCGTTGCGCTAGCGGTACAAAGGAAGGCTCCATATACTTGCCTTCTGGTACGTTTTTGAATTTTACCGCCGCCATGTTTGTGGTAGGTACCGCCCCTTTTATACGCATGCGCACGGAAGCGACTCCGCCTCTGCAATTGCGCGAGCTGCGAGCGCGCAAGAAGCGCTTAGCAGATATTTTATCCGCGGACTACGGCCTTCATTAACCCTCGGCGCGCATGCGCAGCGTTAACCCTCGGCGCGCATGCGCAGTAGTTAACCCTCGGCGCGCATGCGCAGCGAGGGTTACTGTAGTTGGGTTTGTCTGTGTGTCTGTTACTCTACATCTCACCTCTCGAATGTCTGTTCATCCCACAAACGATACCATCTACCCAACGGGCGACGAAGGTCAGAAAATATGTGGGGGTTTTTCTGAAAATGCTTCGTTGCAAAGCTAGAGCGCTTCCACCATTGTACGGCTAATGCGTAGTCGGCCATTTTTATCGGTGTATCTTGAAGGCATAAGAAGTCACAACGAAGGGCGTGTGTCGACTCCCGCATGCTATCTACTACTGTAGCTTGTCCGTGTCAGACTCTCCGCGAGCTACTAGCGTGGATACCACGAGTAAACGCATACTAAAAGCCCAGCCCATCAATTAGTGGTACCGCGCGTGCGCAGTTCGCCGAGGGTTTGCACTTCAGTGCTTTTCATTATTGTAGTACTACGCTACTACCCACTTATTGCACAGCCGGGCACACTAGCTGTTTGTTCAGCAGATTCCAATGGTCAGTGGACCATGCACAAATACTGTCCTACATATAGCTGAATTGCTTGATATGCACTTTCCTTGTGTTTCACTCATGCACGTATGATGCTACAAGGTAAAGTGAAATAGGTCGAGTATGAAAAAGAAGAGCTGCCCTGGGTGGGATTCGAACCCACGAAATTGTGTGTAGCTATAATTATAGTCTGGCAAACAACTCCTACCCACTGAGCTACCAGAGGGAAGTGTCATCTCTGAGCCGCCCAGCCGACGTGTACCTTCCCAGTTGGAAGAGAGGCTACACAGTTGCTTTAGATGTAACCGTTATTTTGACCATGCAACAGGCTACGATCCATGGTGCTGCCATCACCCAAGGTCGTGCTCTTCTAGTTTGGGAGGCGAGGAAATTGGCTGCCCATTCTGATGCCTGTCAAGCTGTTGGTGTCTTCTTCGTTCCTCTTGTCATAGAGACCTTTGGGGGAATGAGTGCTTCTGCTGTCAGCACGGTGGCCCGCCTTGGTCGGCTCCTGGGTCAATGCATGGGTATCCCTCCAGCCGATTCTATCCGCCACCTCTTCCAGGGTTGTGCTATTTCTCTATAATAATAGATGGGTAATACTGCCCTTTGGATTCGGTGCCTTCCTACACTTGCCCCCTCAGTTGACGGGGTCCGCTGACTGCTCTCTTGTCTTAGTGCATGTGTGTGTCTGAGTGTTTTGGCTTATGTACAGGTTTTTTCTGTGCGTCTTGTCCTCTCCTTTTTTGTCCTTTATTGTTTTTTTTCCTTTCTTGCCATGATGCTCAGTTATATTTAAAAAAACATAAAAATAAGTGGGTAATCATGACGCATGCGCAGTAGCACGACGTACAGATGTATAAAAAAGATCGCGCTGTTCGGACCACTAGCTCCCGCACGCCAATAATAGTACCTCAGTGTAGTGTTAGCTGCATGTGTGCAGAAACAATTTTAATGCAAAGGTCCCAAGGTTTCATTGAGAGAGTCTAAACTCTCCCAAAAGTCTTGAAATTCTTCAAGGATGTGTTCCGGCTGCCAGGGATGGGGGATGGCCCTTGCTATTTCCGGAGAAACTGCTGGATTCTCCATGTGGAGGGCAAGACATTTCTCAGGAGGCAAACCAACATCTCGACCAAATGCACACTCCCATGCACAGTTGTGGAACTGTAGAGAGAGTTTGTCGATGCAGGATGAATATACACAACAACTAGAAATGATAGCTACAAGCAATTTACAGTTAGTTTTGCAAGCAACAAAATTATTTTAGCTTCAAAGCTGTACCTAAAACGTCAACTACAAGTACCGCATTTGCATAGATGAATAGAAAAGCTACCTCAATCTCAATGTGAGGGTCACTGTGGTACCCAGAAGATTGGGAGAGGTCAAGCTCACTCGGTGGGTCTTTGTACTCTTCAATTGAGGTGATAGTAAGTAGGAGCTTGTCATCAATGCAATAGGCTTCTCTTTTCTTGTGACGGATGAAATTAACACTCAATTCCCGTGATCTTGGTGGGAGTGTGAGCGTTTCCCTGTCCACATCATATGATACCTCCCGCAGTAGCTGATGAACAACTCGGTATAATTCAGGGGACACTTCTGGCTGCACTATCTCATAAACGTTTAGCGTCATTCGAATATCATGGTCCCTATGACAAACAGTTAAGTGATATACAGTACAGTTTCAACCTGGCAGTGAACGTGATAGCTCCTCAATACAAAACATCGAGGTAACATACAAGAGGAATAGTAAAGTCCCTCCATGGATTATGGTAATTATATGTACATATATACACAGTATTGCTAAATTGTTTTGGCCCAAACAAAACGGAAACAAAAAGCACAACATAGTTGGTTTAACTCACACTTTACCTGTGGAGACTGAGGACGTTAAAAACAACAACTTTTGCTTCGTTCTTCTTTACAAGCAGCACGGTCGGTTTCCTGCCATCAAACTTTAACCTTACGTCGACCGAAACTCTTTCTGTCTCTCCTGGAACAGTGAACTTTATGTCAAAAGTCTCCAGAAGCGAAATCCTTTCATCAGCAACCTCTGCCTTTACTGCCTCAACACCTTCCCTCTTCACGCTATTGTACATGGTTGTGTTTAAAGTGACTATTGGTAGAATGTGCTATACGTACTTGGTGTTGAATATTCTTGAGTGTTTAGTGTCGGAGAAACATAGATGAGAAAAATTTGTTAACTCTAAAGCACATTCAGCAACATCTTCAGGGATATTCCTCCACAACACCTTTCCAAATCTTGGGCAAACAGAGAGTCAAGGCATTTTTATGACCATAATAAATGTGTGCATTACCTTGCTTCTAACTTGAGAACGAATGGCCCTTTCTCCCTCTTCTCTGCACAAAACCACTCCAGAGCTCCTTTTAACATCTCTCTCATGTGCACCTCGTGGTCTTTAATAATCCTGAATGGCAGATTAGGGCACTTGATAAAGTAGTTTAATTGAATCATCTATATATTACTACATACTTTACTCCGACATCCCGCCGGTTCTCCTTGGGGTTCAATGCTGCTTCCTCTCCATGTGCTCTGTCGATAGCTCGATGAAGACCTTCTTTTGTCTCACTCTGTCTCGGAGGATTTTCTACTGTCACTGCTTGGCACTTACCCCCATCTGCTTCTTCCTCCTGAAAACAACTCAATGTAGCTACTCACCTCAGTCAATATGTAACACTCACAGCGATATAGAGCTCACGCAGAATACTGCCGAGGGAAATTTGACCAGGCGCAGGAGGCAATCTCCCTTGGTAGGGTCTGAACTTTAGTAATGAGCCATTTTCACATTGCTCTACTCCATCTCTGTGGATATAGCACCATCCAGGCCCTATTGGATACTGATCAAAAATACAGTAGTTAATTTTTGGCGAGCAGGGGCAAGGAAACTGTGTGAGGGTTACTACTTTGTCACGTGAAGTAAGCATGCATTCATAGTTTGCTTAGTGCGTTTGGGTTACTGCAACCACCCAAGCCCCAGGCAGGCGCGTCGTCTCGCACGATAAGCGGATGCGGACCGTACGGCACGCGCGCATGCGCATAATAATAACCGGACTCGCTCCGGCTTACCAGCTGAGACACAAGGACTTCATACTCCTCTCTGAGCTTTTTTAGATATCTTGCATTGTTCTGTGAAACAACTATATCGACCTACATAAAGAATCAGCAGTTCAATACAACTTAGCTGTATACGTATACCTACGTAGCTACGTAAGATTATGCCGGTATAAACTTACAGTGTTGTCCCTTGGAACCCTCAAACGACACTCGCATAGTTTCTTTAAAGACCTCGTGAAATCTCCCTTCAAAGCTGATGCCATTGGTACTTTATTTGGTATCGTTACACTCACATGATCGGTCCTGCAATAGCATCCCGGCATAGTCGTAAAACACACACTATAGTTAAATACGCACATCACTCTGTTGCTGTGCGAGTACGGGCATTCTCCCGTTTCCTGACGTGCACACTCCCCAAGCAGCTTGAAGTCCAAGCAGTCTTTTTCCTTACCTCGTCCTCGCCCACGTCCTCGCCCACGACCACCACCGCGGCCACCACCAAAACCCCTACCGCCGCCGCCATCGCTCCTGCCGGCGGCACCCCGACCTCGGCCACGTCCACGACTCCCTCGCCCTTCTCGGGAAGACATTGACCACTCGGGAATTCCGATACTGCTTGGTTCTACTTGGGAATATAGCCGTTATTATGTTATGTACTACGTGCGAGGGACATACCGGATTTCAATGAACCCGAGGGCCTCCGCGTTTGTAGTGTCCCGAGCGAAGCGAGGGCACTACGCGGAGGGCGTGAGGGTTCATTGAAATCCGGTATGTCCCGAGTATACGGAGTACATAACATGTTTAGTGCAGAGCAAATCAGCTCCGTATACGCGCACAGCCGCGTTTCCAAGCAGAAAAGATGCGAGAAAGAGACGAGAGCGCAAGACCGTCATCCCGTGCGGGACTATTGAACGCCGAACGCTAGGATACGCTGCTCCGCCGCTCTAGCTACTCCCGCTGCGGGGCTGTCCTCCGCCACTCATCCGAAGAAACGCGACAGGAGACCTGCGCGAACCATCGCAATCAGAGAGAGTCGAGAGTGGAGAATTCAGGCGCTGTGCGGGCTGCTATACCGAAGGCGTTCGCCTTAGTAGCTTTGTCGCGCGCACTCGCTCGCGGTGCCCCACCCCCTTATTTGCGTATGGCGCGGTGGTTTGTGGGCGGGCGTGAGCTGCCTGGCTATCTATATGTACATGGCAAGGAAGGAGATGGGCTCAAAGCAGACACAGAAAACTGTCTCGTGGAAAAAGAAAATCAAGATATCAGTTATTTTGATCAACATTTTGTACAGATTATGTTTTGCGGGATACATTTCCTACATGAAGTGCTGTTGAACTTGTTGAAAATCAACAGAAAAAACAAGGTTTCATATCATGTTTTCATGTTACTTTTGTTAGCTCACGAGGTTCATATGAGAAATCAGGAACCTCGTACTAACAAATCTGATTGGTCGATTCGAATCAGCTATGCACTAAACGAACGTATAATTAGCCGCCCCGGTCCGTCGTAAACTGCCTACGCGGCAAAGTAAAGGAGAGGTCAATTATTACACTCATCCAGCAGCACACCCAGTCCGCTGACCAGTTGATTCGCTGGAACCAAGCCGATAATAGGATCTCATGTCTTCGGTGGCTAAGCGGGGTGGTGGTGGCGTGCGCCCCCAGAACCCACTGCCTGAAGAAGTAGAGAAGTGCCTATCAGAGATGAAGGGAGTGAAGCGGGTACGGTTCAGGAATATGACCCGTAAACTTCTCCGTGACCCTCTGCTGTGGCTGCGAGTAGGCCATTCGACCGATGAACACGCGAACGAACGACTCAACGCAGTCTTCGACCGTTTGGCGCCGCGTTTGGAACTTGATGCCAACGCCGAGAATCTTCGTCGGAGAAACCGCCTCTGTGACGAAAGTCTCAATGTGAAGGCC